TTCTTTCTCCCATTTAACTAAACTTTTTTTCTCTCCCTTGTTGTAATATCAAGCAAGATGAAAATAAAAACGACTTGTAACCCAGCAACCACATACTATCTGCTTTTAGTCTTTTTCTGTGCATATGTATTTTTTTAAAAAAACAAAAATGGGCTCATATGCAATAAGTACAGGGACAAAAGTCATCATCGCTGGAGTCAGATAGCCTGCATCAGTATCCTGGGTCTTACAACCCTGAAGATTTGCACTTGTACTAATTACTTGGTCTTTAGGTGGTTATTGGTAATCAGGGGAAACAATCTCTCAGGAGAGTTAGAAAGATTCATTGAGATAATGTGTATAAAACCCTGAACAGAATTATTAACACTGGTTAGCACTCAATAGATGACAACTATTATTATTTTGTATACTGCTACATTGTAAACTGCAAACATGGTTCCCTGTCATTGGATATCTTTCTACAACTTTAAAATGAATTGTTGCATGGTATTCAATGGTTTGTTATATACCATAATTAATTTAACTAGTTTTCCTATTATTCACAAAACATCCCTGTAGGGGCACCTGGGTGGCTCAGTTGGTTAAGCAACTGCCTTCGGCTCAGGTCATGAGCCTGGAGTCCCGGGATCGAGCCCCACATCGGGCTCCCTGCTCGGTGGGGAGTCTGCTTCTCCCTCTCCCTCTGCCGTCCTCCCTGCTTGTTTGCTCTCTCTCTCTCTGTCAAATAAATCACTAAAATCTTTTTAAAAAAATTTAAAACAAAAAAACAAACAAACAACTGTTAATACATATAGCCAGATTTCCCACAAAATAATCCATGCCAAATTCACAGTCTCCTAACAATTTAAAAGGTCGCTTGTTCATCTGAGCTCTCACAACTACTGGATAAAATAATAATTTTAATCTCTTTGAATCTGATAACAAACGGCAGTATTTCAATGTACATCTCTTGACTTAGTGAGAGTAAACTTTTTTAATGTTTAATGATCATTTGCGGTTTATTCATAAATTTCCTATGTAAGGCCTTTTCCCATTTCTCTCTACTGATTTCTTAGGTTGCAGAACAAGGACACAGGAGACTGGATCCCTGATGAACATTGATCTGCTGGGCTCTCTCCAAGCTAGTTGAAGACACTGTCATATTTTACAAGCCTTGCAATCAAACCACAGAATTACCCAAAGTAGGATTTCTTTACAATCCTAATTGAAAGTTTTGGGGCCATCTGGAGTCTACACCTATGAAACACACACTGAAGATCTTAAATGGGCACTGGCAGGGGTGAGGTGTCACCATGTGCTTTTGTAGGCAGTATGTATGGACATAAACAGACAAATAGGGAAGATGACCTCGGGTGAAGGGAGCAGACAGACTCATTCATAAAATCAATTAAACCTCACTTTTGGAAAACTCCAAAAATAATGGGAAGTTTTTATTTTTTCTGGGGAGGAGGGTGTTGGTAATTTGCCTTTTCAACAATCACACCAGTGAGGGACTTGCCTATATGGTCTTTGCCAGGGTATTAGTGCTTGGTGGAATGTCAGCAACAGACACAGGCAAAGGATACAAATTCATTTAATGCTGATAAACGGTATGGCTTATTATAAGAATGGCAACCAAAGCAAAATCAAAAACAGTATTCTCATTAAAGCAACAAACTTCTGGGCCTGTAACTCCATGAATCAGTTGCTCTACTCTCAAAGCTCCCATATAGAACTATGAGAAGCTCATACCTTCCTAGCCTTTCCCAGCTACCCCAAGCTCTCAGTCTATTCACCAGCCTAGCCACCAAGTTGTA